CTTCAGTAATGCCCAGCAGCACTGAGATGAAGTCTGAGCTACTGATGACACACATGCTCAAGGAGTAAATTCTTCACACCAAGGGCCTCAGGCAACCAGAAGGGAGCAGAAAGAAGCCAAGAGCACAAGAAACGACTCCTGACAGAGCCTGAGCTCCTTAGAAGTAAAGAGGAAATAAACCCCACAGGTCATCGAGACCTCCCCATATCGCCCATTTGGGGGCCACTCTAGAACAGGGAAGATTGCCTGGCACTCCGAGGAGACCTGGACAGCTCTGAGAAAGGGGTGGAGGTATTTCCAGCACAAGCCCACGCTGCCCAGAGTACGAACTTCTGTTGGCCAACCAAGTGGCCCTAAATTGCTGAGGCTGCTATGGAAACCGGCCAGGAAACAAGAACGCTTTCCTGACACGACAGTGCACAGTAAGACGGACACACCGACGAAACCAGGCCGGCAGACTGTATCCGTGGGGGCAGCGCGGGTGACCTACGACCACGTTCCGGCACAAAGCTGGGTCTGGCCCTTCTTACTGCACACAGGAACATCAAACACGTCACATGGGAAGCTATTAATTTTTTAAAGTGATGAATCGATCTGAAAACTGACAGGCTCAATTCTGCTCACAAAACACTTCATTTTTAGGCAAGAAAGCAGCTGGATGAGCTTTGGTTTGAGTCCACATTCAGCAATCTAAGAAAGACAGGGTAAAACAAGAGATAACAAGACAACAATCTGGTCCTCCTGTGAGCTTTCTGGGGCGTGTGTAGACTCTTGCAGTCGAGTTAGGAGGAGTCCTCAGGGAGACAGACATCGAGAGAAACGACCCTCTCCGCCTCTGTTTGCTGTTCTATTGGCGGTGGATAGCTGGACACTAGAAGCTTCTACCTAGAGGTCAAAGGTCTCGGCTAAGAGGTTCTGGAGGAGTCAGGGAAGCCGGAGTCCATCGGGGTGAGATGGTTCCCCCAACACAGCCCTTTACTAAGATGTAGGCAGCAAGGTTTCGCCCAGATTCAGGCCTCGACTCTTATCTTTATACATGAAACCAGGGTCTCACTTTTTGAACAGTAAATCTCTCTGGAAGTTGGTATATGATAAAACAGGAATACAAGAAACATGCTGCCAGCACAGAGCCAGCGCTGCCTATGAGCTTTCTGGGTCCCCAGGTGGTAAGGAGAAACTGTCTTACCGAAAAATAAGTAATCACTGAATTTCTTAGCACCAAATAATACTGCCTCAGGTACTGAAAAGAGCTGGAGAAAGGAGACACTAGACATGAACGCATTTTCCCAATAATAGAAGCCCACCCCCAGAGCGCTGAGACATACTTCACCATTCTCGCATGGAGAAGTGTCTCCCGTACACTCCACACTGCTCAGGGTTAGGAAACAGACTCTGTCATAAAACGATGCCTTCCTGACAGCAGGACAAATACTGCGAACGCTCCAATAACTGAAGTCTGCAAAGTGCTTGCCTCCCTGCAATTGTGTATGTGACATTTTCGTGCATGTGAGTATATGTGTTTCACGGGGAAAAGGGCCCTGTCTGCATTCTCAAAGGGCCCAGGAAAGGGTCTGAAGCTGGCTGAACCAAGATGGGAAGCAGCCTCTGCCCCAGACTGGCTGCCCCGGTGCCATGATTCTAGGCAGCGTCCTCCTCCTTGTTCTCATGGCCTTTCCTGTCCCCAGCTGTCACCTCGCCCACACGGCTCTCACACCATTTGTGTGGTTTCTCTCTCTCCTCTTCTCCAGCGGAGTTTCTTCCCCTCTCCTCGCTCACATTTCTGCACTGCTCCTTCACTTCTATTGTGAGGACAGGTAACACCTGCATTAAAACAATTGTGCCAACTTCTGATCTGCAGACCAGTCGTGCGTCTTCCAAGTTATAGTACTTATGGCCAAGCTCATTTCTGCTCAATTCTTGGGCTCTTTCCAGTTACCTTTGGGGTGGTGGGTATTCTGGAAAGTTGAAGATGCTAGATGTCTGGTTGCTGGGGACATTACTGGAGCGAGCTTCCTGTAGATGTCAGTAAGCTGAATGTGGAACCATCAGACAGCAATGAACACACACACTCCAATCCACCAACAAGCCACAGACTATTTCGAGAAAGTTGAGCCACTTTGTCTCTTTTCCAGTTTATATTAGCATCTGAAATATTTGCATCCCCAGTCTGAGCTGGGATTTGCAAGAAATATTTAGAGCTCGCTCAGCATGGCATTTTCACTCATGTTCTATAAATGGGATGCTGGTAAACGAGCCATGAAGAAAAAACACAGAACATGTTACTGCTTCTTCTTTATTGGCAGATCATGGCGCCGTGTAGAATGAAAAGAAGGGAGATGCGATGAGGGAGGCAGAAGCTCTCTGACTGCCAGAGCGAGGCGTGCCTGGGCGCGGTGGCACCGGCAGGAAGAACCTGGCAACACGGAGCACCGCCACGAGAACGAGTTTGAAAGCTACTCTACTCCACAGGAGATAAGATGCCGCCTCTCAAAGGCCCACAACCACCCTCTCATTTCCTCCCTGTCCTGGACGCTGCGGTCGAGTCTACAGGGAGGGAGTTGGTTAGCTTTCTACAAAACTAAAAATGACAGTGCCAGGGACAGACGTGTTCCCAAGGAGGGCTAGAAGCGGCAGACCCCAGGTAACATGAAGATAATGGAATTCAAAAATGTATAAACACAAAGCACGCAGAGAAATGTCAGCTCTCCAAAAGTTGAAGCAGAGATGGAAACATCCAAACAATAGAAACAGTAGCTGTCCACATCCAAACGGAAAATAATAAGATCAGCAAGTAGCCGGTAACTGAGAAAAGCCGTAAACGCCCTCAGTTCTCCTGTCTCAGCACCACAGTAATGTGGGTATCTGTTGGTATCCACACCTGTGGTCCAGATGGATGTGCCCGCCCCATTTCTTACCTCATCGTGGTCACCAGCTGGGACGTGTGAAGGCCGAGCTTCTTCATCTAGTGGCTCAATCACTGTCACCTCTGCAAACTCCTCCACGGATTCTTGGAACTCAGGTAAGGACCTTCGTCCATAACGCTTACCACCTCTAACGTATTTGGGCTGAGCTTCTAGTGAGCAGTCTGGGGAAGGAGATAAGAGTTGAGGCCACATTACATGACAATCGCAGCCCATGGCTGACACTCACAGCCTTCGGACACAGCCTCTTATACCAGCCCCAAAATAAACCACCACTGTTCACCAGCTGGGGTGGATGTGGGTGTAGACGAGCCACCAGGTCAGATGCAGAGCACAGCTTCTAATTCCGAATGATTAATAGCACCGAGCACATCCCTGCATGTGATGAGAGGGATGCAAGGCCAGCAGAGGGATTTGACTTAAAAGTACAGAATTCAGATCAGGACAAAGCAAGGGGTCATATTTGTTCTTCTGTTTATTAAGCTGGTGTTTTGCAGAAACAGGGAAAGGGAGAGATCATACTAACAAAGGAGGAAGTCTTGGAAGATGATGATAGAAAGGGCCCCATATCAGTGCTGTAAAGTCAGTCTTCACAACAATCAGTCTGAAACACACCCCTCTTGTACCTCAGTGAGCCTCTGTTAACCATCCCACTTTCTGATGCATCAGACAAGCGGGATGACAGAACAAAGAAACTGACACGTGGATCCTAATCAATGACAGCTCGTCGCTTACACGAAACCTGGCGTCAAGATCTCATTATAAAACTAAAAGCTGTGGAATAAAATAGCAAATGTGAAACTGCATTAAGAAAAATGGTACATTATGTTTTGTTCTCTTCATGAGCTTCAGTGTTGTACAAAATAAAAAGGAATGTGCATAATGGGAGAGTCATCTCTTGACTTAAAGAAGGACTTCAGCATTCTGACAACATGTCTCAGGTTCAACATCAGCCACCTTCACCATCACCACCACCTTCCTTCACCATCACCATGACCACCACCATTGTTTCAGCCACCACCACCACTAGCCCTTCTCTACAATGGAGAGCTTTAAAGCAATAAAATAAATACTTCACTCTATGCAAAGTCAGCTTAGATATAGATTTTTTTTTAGCACCTTGCACAGAATTAGAATAAAATATTCCATTAAAATACAAAAGATTGGCAATGCTTTGATTTCAGTTCTTCTCGCCCACACAGACATACCGTCTCCGTGGAGAACATAACGCGTGTTCTGTTTGAACATGATGGTCTTAACAAGATACGTCTGAACTCAGACATGTAGATATTAGATGAGGTGTGTACACACATCATCTAAATGAGGGTGGCTGATTAGATAAGAACTGAAGGGACAAAACCCTTCCTTTGTCACCACCGACAGCATGTCAGGAGCTTTCCCTGGAGGACTGGAGACCTCATTGACTAACTCTGCCCTCCACGCCCTCCCATGCCCTTCCTCCGGTATAAGCTCAGATTTCACAAGTGTGGTCAGAAGCATTCTGAAAATGCTCAGCAAAGCTCAGAGTGAAGTATTTATGCTTGCTCCAGGATTTCTAGCGATATTTATATCCAGCTTTTTAAAAGTCCCAGTCAAGTCACTTTATCAGGTCAAGCGATTCTCTTACAGGGAACGTTCAAGCATACACAATTTATATTGAAAATCGCATGCTCATTTGAAGGTACCTTTTATCAGGAGAGAGTGTGTCAGCTTGTGAGTATTCAGGAGCGGCCTGGACACCCGAGCTCCTTGTTGGCAGCTGACACCCACAGATGCTAGTCAGATAAGAGGCAATGCAGAACCATCCTTAATTTATACATACACTTACATTTTAGTGGCAGACACAAGATACACCATTAGTGACAATGGGGGCTTAGGAAAGTTTAAAAGGAAAACTTAGAAGGCCAGAAAATGGAACACAGGGTTTTCTCAGTGTGAGAACACAGTCATGGTCTGGGTGTGGAAGTGGCAAACCAGCTCTGAACGCACGCTGCGCTTTTTCAGAGGAAAAAAAGTCGTCAGACAAAGCAACCGTCTTAGAAAACCCACTGTGATTTGACCCAAAACCCACCTGTGGGTGAAGTGGTTCCCCAGTTAGTTTCCACTAAATACCCCATGTAGGGTGTGGTGGTGGGTCTGAAGCAGCTCTTTTTCTAAGCAAGGAAGATTGCAGATTGTGAACCATTAGGGGTTTGGGTTTATTTACTGACTTACTTATTTCTGCGTTGCCAAGAAGTTTTAAAATTTTTTATTTATGTTATCTTTTATTACTATAACTAATTTTGAACAAACTTTAATATCTTTCACAGAATGTACATACATCACCAAGTCAGTTTCTAGAGAAATCTGTTAAACTGTACAATCTTTTTGGAATAAAGTTATTAGCACACACAAAGGAAAATGGGGTACTTGGCTTCCCCATACTGAATTTCTCAAACCATCCACGTGACCCATAAAGAATTAGACTAATCACACCAGTTAAAAAATTACTTCTTAGACTTACACACTCACACATCCCTCTCCTGTTGGAGTATCACTTACTTACATGACAAGAGGGGAAGAGAGACAGCACCAGCGAGGAGTCCAGAGAGAACATTTCGGGTCCACAGCCATCCTTGGGTTAAGCATTTGAAACTCTGATTCTCCTGATCAATCCCAACCAGGCCTTTGGAAGTGCAGAGCCACAGCCCAAGGAGCAGAAGGCTCGCTAGGGACTTGAGGAGACTCTCTCACACACACCGAAATTAAAGAACGCCTCACCCCCTCCTCACCAGGCCCAACAAAGACATGCAAAACCGCAGCCCTGCGGTCAAGTTTATTGACTTTATAATAAGTGCATCCAGATGCAACTTACATATTTCAGGGTTTCGTCCTGGAACAATTTTATCTATGCCAGATAATATGGGGTTATTTGACTTATTAAGAAATGAAATTATTAACAGCATACAGCTTCCTTTAACGTAAGTGTTAGTAACCCTACAATCATGAGCTCTGAGGACAGATGCGAAATAGCAGTGAAACAACAAAACAGAGAGGACGGCCGTGCCTCAGGGTGTCTTGTCCTCAAACGTACACTGAGATTCCACCTGGACTCAGAGTCATTTCCCTTCTTTCCCACTTTCCATTTCCCCTATTTAGTGTCACCAGGTAAAAGTAAAAATGGGTTTTGAAGGAAAGCAGACAAGCCCAGCCTAGAGGAGTCTTGGACCCCTGGAGAGCCTGCTACAAGATGCACCAATCCCAGAAGCTGGTTTTGAGGCATCCTACCTGACCAGGTTAGATGATCTAGGTTTCATTCCATAAACCAAACACATGGTTATGAGTGGGGACAACCCCTTCAAGACTGCTGGAGAAATATAAAAGCAACTAACAGTCTCTACAGAGCAAGTGGGCAAGAAAATCTAATCAGGGTGTTCAAAAGATAAAAAAATACCGTTCCTTCCAGCCTTAGAAATTAAACACAATCTGGATGCTCAGACACCATATTCTTTACTCCATATCTCATCTGTCCCAAGAGTCACTCCAGAGCTGTGACAGTGTTCACCTTCCAGAATCAGGATGAACCACATGCACATGCATGACTTGTGCTCAGAGGTCTTGCACTTATAACAAAAGCAACACTGAGTTACCACGTGAGTGAGAATGGCTGCTCCGAGGGCACGAGCCGGCTGCAGGCAGGAAACCCACCAACAGGCACCCCTCATCCCTCTCTCATCTCCCTTCCCTCCCCAACTCTAACTGAGGGTAGAGGGCCCACTCTTCACTCTCTCCTAGGACCGACGCAGCCCCTGTGCGACACATACTGCCCTGCTGATGGCCAAAGGCACAGCAATGGGGACCAAGAGGAAGCTGCAAGTCACCCAAAAGCCTATATTCAGTCAATACTTTGCAGAAACACAAGCTTAGGGCCCGGAACGAAGCAGCATCCACTGCACATATATGGGACGTTACAGTTAAACGTGAGTCCCAGAGACGCACCCCCGTACCAGGCAGATTCACTTAGCTTGCATTTATGGAGCACCTGCCACGGGCAGAGCACTATGTTGTACCTGTTGAGGGATAAGATGGATATGTTATTTTTTGATTCAAACTTCCTTGTTCCTAAAAATGACCTGAGGATATTTCCAGAAGAAAGAATCTGAAAAAGAAAGCCCTGCCTTTGTGGTGCTGGAATTCTTATTGTGGAATTGCTCCTGCAGACTCTGGCTTTCTATTTCCCCACCCGCCTCACTCGGTCAGCCTGGGAAATCATTCCCGAGACCCCACCCCCTCCACAGGCCCTCGGCACAGGCACGGTCTGAGGCCCTCCATACCACATCCTGCTGAGCTCACAGGATTCCTGAAATCCATCTGAAAATAAGAAGCGGTCACAGAGGAAGCATGTGCAACCCTCAGGACAAGCACCAAGACACTTCCCTGGGAAAAGGCAGACATGCAGCAAATGAGCACCACCCAGCCCCAGCACACATCCCCATCTGCTCCATACTCGGACCACGCCACCACACAGGGATTACACAGTCAGAGTGAAAACCCTCACCCGATTCTAGATCAGAGAGAAGGGAATCAGAGGGCAGACTGAGACTGAGAGAGACTGACAGAGATGGAGGGAGACAGAGAGGGAGGGAGAGACAGAGACGGAGGGAGACAGAGATGGAGACAGAGAGGAAGAGAGACTGAGACAGAGAGAGAGAGAGAAAGGGAGGGAGAGAGACAGAGAGAGACACCTAGAGAGGGAGGGAGGGAGGGAAGAGGACAGAAGATGGGCAGAGACCAAGAGGCCCATAGAGGAAGGGAGAGGGGGAGCAGAAGGAACAGAGTGGGGAAAGGACCCAGAGGTGGGGCCCCAGGAGGAGAGGAGAGGAGGGTAGAGGTGAGCTGGAGTGGTGGAAAGGAGAAATGGGTGAGGAGCGGACATCCCAAGGAGGGGAGGGGAGAAGAGAAGCCCAGAGAGAATGAACCACACACAAAAGACCTCAGGAAAGCCTTCCGGCGTTATTTGTCCTTCCTTCTGCCTCCAGGGCAGGTCATCAGCAAGCAGGAGGTCACCCCATGCTCCTGTGTGCACACAGCCCTTTCCCAGGCAGCCGCTTCCTGGCCACTAGCCTGGCCTCCCCAACCACCCCTCTCCAGATACAGATGTTCAGCTGGAGCCTTGCGTCCTCCC